GGAAAGAGGATTTGTCTCAAGACCACGAAGCCCGATTATGTTGTTACTACATGAATGTTTAAGTTTACCATTTATAACCTGTCTCAGAAAGTTTCTTTACGAATTAAAAGACAACCGAGACCCACGTGAGTTAAGATACGCATACCCCCTTCAAAAGGCTCTTGAAGAAGCCTCTGTTCTTACCTCAAGGCAAATTACTGATCCTTGATGCTCTTTGAAAACTTTCAACTGCTCACCAGTGACAATATTCCATGTTCGAATGGTATAATCCGTGCTGCCAGAGAACAGCTCCCTGTTTGGTGCGTCAAGTATAAGGCATAAGACAGCCCCAGTGTGTCCCAGCAGAGTCTGGTAACAGCGCCCACTGGACACCCACCAGACCTTAACAGTGCAGTCTGTGCTACCTGTCACCAGGAGGTCTCTGCTCACTTTCTCCTCCTCCTCCTCTTCCTCCTCCTCTTCTTCAAGAACATCCCTGGAGGAATAGTGAGCTAGAGTCAGGACACAGTTCCGATGGCCCCGGAATTCCTGGATTTGTTTCTCCTTGTCCACACTCCAACAGCGAGCCGTCCTGTCATAGGAGCCACTAAAGAGATAGTCTTTGGCAACCAGGATCCTGCAGAAAATCAAGTTCGCATGTATGAACAGTACTGTTCTTTTTACATAACCATTTGTTGGTCACAATTCCATTGCCGAGCACCCTGAAGTTGGGAACAGTAGCATGGACACAACATATATAACCCCAATTAAGTGTCTCTGTTCAATACACAGTATTTATGAATGGGTTTTGTTTATAGTTTAAAAAGAAAAAACCCCAAACACTTCCCTGTTTCCACTTTTCAAATTGAGACCCCCCAATTCAGGCACATTGATACAAACATTTTTACACTATAGCATTGTAACTTTGGGCATTTGTGGTTTAATAAAACCTTTTCCAGCAGCCCTATTATGTACTGTTCATGAGTTACACACACTACCTAAGATCTTGTTGGTTTTGGTTTGTTGGTTGGTTGGTTGTTTTTTAAAGAAAACCCTCATTCATTCTTGATAATTATTTATTACTATTCATTTACAAATAATTCTTTATAAACTGACCTATGAAAATCAGTTGGAATTAAAATAACAACAAAAAGAATTCCAGGAACCTGAACTGTAACTGACAGTTATTATAAGTGTGCAAAGATAACCGTCTTTCCATCATCAAACAGGGAGAGGGCAGGAAAAAAATACACACCTAATTTCACTTAGCCTGTGATCTCAAAAAGTTAGAGCAAAGAGCACCCCATTTATTACATAACTGAAGAGCAAATCAGAGATTACAGCTCAAGAGTTCAATTTACTGGGCCTCCAAAACAACGAATTGTAGCTGCACAAACACATAACAGAAAAAATCTCTACAGTTCATATTTCCAAATCAGAGAATGGGAACATCATAACCTGTTTTCTTTGTCAGCTGAGTTTGGTCCTCTGGAACCTTTCAAACTGGCAACAGTCATATGAATAGGGAACACATTTCCCATTTGCTGACTCAAGCAAAAATCAGGCCAGTGCCAAAATACAGACAGAGCCAGCCTTCCTAACTATTTACAGAATGTAGCTACACATTGTATGTGTTTTGAGTTTAGTAAGGAACAAAGAGAAAAAAAAATCTACCCACCCACCAAAAGCGAAATGTAAAAAAAAAGAACAACCCAATCTTTGATTGCTCTATTTTTCATTAATTAAATCCAGCCCAACTATTAAGAGGCACTTTAAATTGACAGGCCAATCAGTCACGCACCATCAGTTTAATATTAAACTTCATTTGCACAAATGGAAATAGTAGTTCCAGACAAAGCCCTGACTTTATCCCTCTTACTGACACAAAGACTTGACGTGATGTTTTCTAATCTGTTTATCAGAAGCATCTGTTATCAATTGAATAATTTCTTCTGGAATTTCATTCCTAGCCCTGGATTCAATTCCCCCGCTGTGTGCCTTTCATTTCTCTGCTATCTGCTGTCTATGGATGTGTCAGCACTGTTGCTAGGAAAACTCATCATTACAGCACAGAACACGCGGAGCATGAACTCAAAGGTTTACACAACCCATTTTATTAGTGTGGTAATAGAGAACTGCAGTAAAGTGACAGTATGCGCGATAGCAGATTACAGGAACACAAGGGAAGAACTCCACACAACCAACCTGTTCACAATTGATGTGTGTCCTCGGTAAATGGCCAGGCACTGACCTGTCATCACATCCCACTTTCGGATGGTATGATCTGCGCTACACGTGAAGGCAGCCTCATTTTCTAAGTGGCAAAAGGTGATGTAACTTTCGTGTCCTAGGAATAACAAAGAAAATTAATTCAGTTGCTGTGCATGCAAGCAGGACAAACTAGTCAAGCCCTTCACCTTAAGTATAAAGAAAAATACAACAAATGGATCAAAACTAGTTTTACATGCACCACCCTGTTCTTCACATTTAAGGATTTGTGTAAAACACATTTCAAATCAACAGCAGAAAACTCTGCTTCATTGATACAAGGATTCAGTGAAGGAGTAAAGCAGTACAGTTCCACCAATCAGGTAGAACGTACAGTATTATAAAAAAAATGAACTAAATATCAGTATAATAAAACTCACACTACCAAAATTCGAAAACAGTGAAAACATGGCTTATTTTTTTTGGTTAAAAGTATGAAAAAAGGAAGCAACATGAACTTACTAGCAAGTTTAGTTTCATTGCCCAAGCAGAATGAAACGTAAACAAAAACACGTATCTGGTAAGAAGTCAGCCAGTACTTTCCCTATTCTGACTAATAACATGAATAAACCCCACAATATTCAAAACATCAGTATACCTTTAAGGAAATGACACAGAAAGAAAGAATAAGAGCATGATTATTTATACAGTATTCAGAGTATGTTGGCATTCTACAGTTACAATAAAAATAGACACAACCACTACTCTAAAAATTTCATGCTGAAGAACAGGGTAATGCAAGCAAAGAGGAATCGATATAAACACCTTAACCTTTTATTGTTGCTTAGCAAGGTGTGTCATTTTTCTATTGTATCATTAAATACGATGCATTTAAAAACGACCTTAGAATTCAAGTCCCAACTTTGTCCAAGATCTCTTGTGTGAAATTGCCGTCACCTATTTAATCGCTGGGATAGTATTGTCTTGCGCTCTTCTACATAGACTGGAAGCTTTCAAGATCAAAAGGGTTTCCTCTTAAGTAACTATTCCTCTTAAGTAACTACTAACTAAGCTGCTTAAGTAACTTAAGAAGCTGGTGGGCCCTACTGTGATTTCAATAACACTGGTCTTTGAGGGAAAAGGAAAAAAAAAAAAAAAAAAAAGGAAAAATGGGATTAAAAAGAGACAAATGTACAAAGAAAGATATTAGAAAACCAGAATAATGTTGTAGAATAAAGAGAAGGTAAAAAAAAGAGCAAAAGCAGACTTCCCAGTAAAACAACTTGTTTCACTGACTGAAAAAAAACACATTTTACTACAACTCCTGTAGTTCAAAAGTGAACCAGAATCCACGCTGCACACACACACCTTGTTTCCTCTTAAGCAAATTCACCAGATGCCAAAAATTAAACAGATCATCAGGCCTGTAAGCAAAACTACATCCCTCCTCACGTTGTAAAGTAGCTTGAATGGGACAGGTTTCAACCACCAGGATTTTTTTCAGAGCATCACGTAATCCTGCTCCGAGACGATCAAAAAAGCATCTTGGTTACTGCACCGAGGACTGTCAGTCAGATTTTAACCATCAGTAGTACTCAAGCCACTCGAAGGATGCCAAAATCCCCTGTGGCAGGTGCTGGGCTGGTCAGAAACACCCACCACAGAAGCCTGTTGGTTATGCTGTGGTGGAAGCTTGAGACTGTTACAGATACAGGTTTATAATTATAGCTTGTACAATATCAAGTCACACAACGGGATGCATGCACAAATATAAAACACATAAAATTATCTAATTCGACTGACAGTTCACAAACGATCTAGCCAACGTTCTTCAGAGTTTACCCCAAACACCAGCAGTACACAGGCCAGATTCTGAGCATTACCCAGTACATTTCTCTTTCTAGTTAAAAGTTAATTGGTGGCTTAAAGGGATTTATAAGCCTAAAGCAAATGGAGTGAATTTTCCAGGAGCTAGAACCATGGCAGGATGTGGGGGAAAAAAGACAATACTCCATAGTTAGAAACAAGCAAGCAAACAAATAAACAACAACATCACATCAATGTGATTTCTTCTTTGGAAGAAAAAAGTATTAGAATTCCAAATTTAAGAGCTTTTTTTCCCCCCGTATTAAGAGAAAAGAACATGAGGGAGTGAGAAAACAAACATCTTGAGTCCACATCTGATTCCTGCAATGACTGTACTTTCTACAGTTTTTCTTTTTCAAATGCTAGTCTAAGGATAATAAACTTTAAAATGCAGAATCAATTTAAAATGAAAGAGTTCAACAATTAACATTTCTGTGTGTCAAAGGTAGGGAAAAAATAGCTTATTTAGTAAGGTTTCTTTCCAGACTTCTGGGTCTAAATAAAGATTGGAAAATGAGATGATTAAAAAGAAAAAAAGAGAGACGGAGAGAATAACAGAAAGTCAGCATTTCATCAGAAAGAAAGGCTGCTAGAAAGAAATGTAAGTTAGAAGACCGCTACGTTCCACACCCTGTGATAAAAAGATCCATGCATTCAGTAGCACTGGTAACCTGTTTTGGGCTGAAACAGCTTCTGCTTAACATTACTGTAACAAATACTCAAAAAAACACAAAAGAAAACAAGCATGATTTTGGCTGCCCGGCAGGCTGCAGGGACTGAAAGAGACCAGAACATGCTGTGTGGCCTGTACCATGCCTCAGACTCAAAAGCTAGGTGAAAAGAAGGTACCATACCTTGGAAGTGGCCATGGCACTGGCTGTCGGCAGTGCTCCAGAGCCGCGCGGTGCCATCCTCACTGCCAGTGAGCAGACGCTGCCCGTCGGGGCTCAGGCTCAGCCAGTTGATGCCTCCTTGGTTGTCCGGTCCTGTCGGCGGGGAGCCACTGTTCCCCATCCTGATGGCCTGTGGGTCAGATCACAGGCGCTGTGCAACCGTCAGACTGTGCTCTGGGCCTCCAGCCATCTCCCACCAACCAACTTCAGCCATTACCTCAACTCCGAACCATCAGCAAGGCAGTCCAGACTCCTGCACGGGGACACAAAGGAGGAAGAGGAGGGCACGTTAAATCATTTCATCTCCCCGCGGACAAACCGCTTTCTCGGTCAGGATGTGTTGAAGCCATGGACTGCCCCTTTCTCCGCAGGAACCGAAGCCCTACCGTGGAAGACGGTCCTTCAGCCACACACTCACTGGTACGTCCAGCCCCTCGGACGGGACCCAGCCTGGCCGCCGGCGGTCCCG